TCTTAAATCTACATCGAAATAATTATAATAAAATCTATTCAAAACCCCATAATATTCAGGTCGATATAACACATACCAAAGAGCATATCTAAAAAATAACGTTCATAAAATTTTCAACAACTAAACTGAAATTTTGCCGTGCAATTTCAATGCGGAAACGTTACGAAAAGTTCTAAGTCTATTTTCTCGCATACACTTTTTGTAGTAAACATCAAATCCGATGGCTCCGTATTTGTTCATCTACAGATATCGTAAAAGTCTAACATTCGATTTATATATTTTTTCAATTCTGTTTATTGTTTACGAAATATTTCTATATATGAAAATGAACTGAATAAGTTTCGCTTTGCATTGATGCAGAATCAATAAATGCCATATAGAGAAATTGTTTTGGACAACGATCTCCAACTATATCTGTGTTGTCACAAATATTTCGAATTTATTTTATTTTTTCTTTTATTATTTTCACATTTACTGTACTTGCATTTTCTTCTAAATCCTTAACTATTGTTATACGTGGTATAACAATAAAGTTTTTATCTTAGGCAAGTATCCAGGCTAATGTTAATTGACCCGTTGTATAATTTGACTAAAGAGTTCTATTATGCGAAGATTTTTTGGAAAATTTTCTTTTGAAAATCTTGGAAATACTTCATGAGCGTTATTTGCGTCGAAAGCAGCAGGACTTTGGATTTGTCTAGTTAACATTCCACAACCTAGCGGTGAACAGCAAACAACATCAATTGTTGGTTTTTCAATATTTAAACTAAATAGTGAATATTCAAGTTGCACAGCAAATACTAGATGAATATTTGATGCCCGTCGAATTGTATCCCTTGAACATTCTGATAAACCAACATAATCAAGGTGAAGACGAGTTAAACTGTTTCAACATCATTTCGAACACTAATTGATCCATCTGATTTTAAAACAAAGTAAAATTTTGTCGCAAGAAACATCTCGACAAGAAATTACGCAGCTGAATACTCGATAGTTTTCTTCATGTATATTTTAAAACTAACTTTTACATATTATTGACGAGACTTTTTGAAATATTTTTCCAAAAAATCTTAATTGTCACCATAATTATCAGCTGCATTAAAATAAGCGCAACCAAGCTCGATATTCCGGTCAAGAATTTTGAAACGTTTTTCGTCAGAACGAGTTGTTTCCGAAATTTTTAATAAACCCATTAAACCAAAACCAATAGCTGATACTTGTGGACTCTTTTTACCTAATTGACGTTTAAGTATCAATTATTTATTACACATTTTTTAGCAAGAAATAGAGATAGAAGATGGCTTGTAATGAATCTTATTAACGATATCGTCCCACTACATATATATACGTACTATAGTTAATAGTGTATGACCAAAAAGTGCCACCAGATACGCTATAGATGATGGTAATAGTTGTGTTAGTTAAAGGAGTCAATCATTTACAGTTACTTTTGTTTACGCGAAGGAGAAGGAGTTGGTAAAAAAATGTTCGTTGCTACTGTTTTAAGGTTTTATTTATTACATGGTTGTTTCAATTCGACAATCTGTAAAATGCATATATGTAATCAAACAAACAGATAATTGATAGAACAGTGTATAAAATAGTTACATAATTTTGCAGCATTTATTTTGATTAGAAAAAGCACAGGATATGATGAGTTTTGTACAATAGTATGAAGTCGAGTGTGACAAAGATTAATGACAGTCTCAACAAATAAATCAAAAACCATCAAAAGTTACTCGATGACTAAGAATAGCAACACGAATAAAAAGATATCCTTGAAGACGTGTCGTTGATGGAACTGGAGCGCCTGATATTTAAATATCCGACACAAGTTCATCTGGTTCAAATCGAAAATTCGCGATTGTTAATGGAATATGACGAATTACACTCACCCTCATCAGCATATTTTACTACAAGTGATACTAAATGTTGAGCTTGTTGACATTTTCCCGCAATTTTTAGTCCTAATTTGATTGTCCCATGTTCTTTTAAAGTAAACCAAATTTTAAGAGCATGAGACGAACGTGATGCATCAGGACCTAAATTAAGTGGTCACGGCATATCGCCAATAATTTCCCGTACTGATTTAAAAAGATATGATTGTTGTGAAGAAAATGTTGAAAAAAGTAATAAGCTCTTTTCAGTGAGCACACAACCAGCATCATAAGGACAATGTGGTCATTTATAAAAATCAGAAGCAAGTGAATCAACTTTTTCAATGCCATTAATAAGATAGCAACGTTGTAAATCAGGAATAATTAAACTGCCAAAAGCACCATCAACATGAAACCACAGATTTTCTCCATGTGCAATTTTTGAAACATCTAAAAGATTATCACATGCGCCTGTATTGATTGTTCTTTTGTGATTGTTATGAAATTGAATTTTATCTTTTTTTTTGTCAAGCATACTTCGATGTCTCTAACATTCCGATCATCATTTATACAGTATATCAAATGGTCTCTAGTTTATTCGATTGGATGACGTACAAAAAATAGATATAAAAATTTAATAATTAATGTGAATAGAAAAAAGCAATAAGACTAGTTGTAAACTAATTGATGCGATAAGATTTAACGATGCTGATTTTGTCGTTGTTGGGCGTATTAAAGTTGATGATGATAATGTTGTTGGAGCTAATAAACATCCGTAATATCGCTGTACTTCAGCAATATCTATTGAACTCATACCAACTCGTTGTCCCAATGGTGTTGTAAGGTTTCTTTTTGATATAATAGTTGGCTGTCCATTTGAAGTAAACGCATTTGCTTCATAATGCATTACAGATCCATAATCGTACGGTAATCCAAGAGTATCAATATCATCTTCACTATACTTTGCAAAATTGAATTCAGTGCCTTATCAAAAATGCATATGTATTTTTTATTCGATATATACTTATGATTAAACAAACCATTAATGATATTTTCCCATTGAATAGAAACATAATCATCACGATCAGGACGAGATTGTTCATGAAAAAATCCTGTAAAATTAAATTTAAAAACATTCCGGAAATCCGAAAAAGAATATCTTTTTCAAACCTAATATATGAAGAAGTTCATGTTGAATGATCCCTGTTATCATACAAGTATATGGTGGTGCATACATTAATGTTAGAGTACGATTTAATGTAAAGTTTTGTAGATAACCAACCTAAAATCAAGCACAATATTCTTTTTCATTTTATCACCTGAACACAACTAACATGAGCAGAACATCCAGTGCCGTTTTTAATAGTTATAAATATTGGATCAGCATCAGTTTTTGGTCGAAATTGAATACACATACGGTTATTAACCTTTGTTAAATCTTCCATTCGTCCCATTGCATCGACGATTAATGCTGAATGATTTGATACTATTAAGAAAAACAAAGCCATTTTTTATAATAACAGTTGAAAGAAATTTGTTCGTTTTCAATATACAAATTGATGATGTCATATCATATGGAATAACACCATTAGGCCATCGCTGCCAAGATGGTCGACTCGCTGCTCCTCGCTTTTAATTCAACAAGTATATCTTAATATGAATTTATGTAAATTGAGAAATCTTTTACCGGTGCATCTTTAGGAACAACCATATCACCTTGGTAATGACCACCTTAAAGAAATTTTCACTATCAATAGAGGATACTTCGAACAAAGATATCAATATACCCATTTCTTCGGGATTAGTAAAACGTTTAGTCTACAAAAAATAGAAAATATATAATGCTCATCTTTGCAATTATTCTTACTTCTGATGCAGGTACTGCATTAACAAAAGTCTTATCAAAAGTAACGATTAGAAGAAAAGTAGTCAAGTATTTCATCATGAATGAATAAGATGCGAAATAAAATAAAATATCTCGAATGTAGCGGTGTTTTATATGATCTCAATAAGTTTTTTAAACGATTTATATTTCCCACAGAACAATTCATTTCTATCATATAACCGCATATCGTCATAGTATTTACAAGTAGCTTTATAGCATACTTAGAAAAATTCTACATTCGTCACAAATGATGAATAAAAAAGTTTGTATTTTAGTGATGTATGTGTAGTCAAAAAGAGAAAAGAAAAGTTCGAGTGAAGATATCAACGTCGAATTATAATAAAATATAAAATTAGTAGTGAATGATTAATATGTATCATATACTTTTGTGATGTACATCATTTTGGAGTAAAATTTGAATTTTTCGCATTTTTCACCAGATAATGCGATGCTGCGATTGAGGATGGAGGTGGGCATATTAAATACCAAAACTTCCTACGAACATAAAATTTCGACCTTTTCTAACATAAGGGTCCAATCTTTCGGTTTGATTTGAAAGTTTTATATACAATATTCCAAGAGGAAAGAGTAGGAAATTTTTTCCTTGCAATTTTGCCAACCGATGGCGATTACTCTACCGATTGATGAATGAAGTTTGATCATTTCTTCATATACAAAATATTTCTATGTAGGTGATAGTTGCTGTAACTTATAGTCTTACCAATTCCTTCAATTAGAAAATGTTTTCCAGCAAATCGGCGTTACCTTCGATGAGGTATACACTTGCAAAAGTATAGCTGTTAATCGATTTTATAAATTTATGAATTCTTTGGTCAAAATATGAAATAACTGAAATGCAAACTATACAGCTCATTAGAGTGGCCAGTGTTCCGTCCAGCTATACAGAAGTAATGGGCTTGTGTAATTAAAAAGAAAAGTGTTCAAGAGATACATAAAATTATTGATTGATACGATGAGAGAATTGAACGTTGACTTTGAATTTCGTTTGATAAAGACACGAATGAAATATCAGATATATAAGCAGCTATGACATGAAATTCAAAATAAATTATAGACTGGTGGTGAGCTACGTCATATCAATGAAAAAAAAAGCCAAGAAAAATATTTTGTCACTTTAAAAAAATTCATTCAAATTTACGCAAAAATTTTACCAACGGTGATCTCCATGTTTTCTGAGGATCTTTTCAATTTTATTAAAGATATGAAAGCAGCACTCATTGGTTTAAAATTAGACTTCTAATCCGGAGATTTGATTACTATGAGAAGTTTAAGTGTTAAGTATGAAGGTATGTCACATCTTTATAAAAAGTGGAGATACGGCTGTTAGTGGACAAATGTGTGCCGGACAATTATACATTACGGGTGCTTCATCGAATTTTCTGTTGTTTTTTTTTTCACTTGAGTCCAGGTCGAACAATCCCATACTCGGATCCGATTGGATCCAGCATCGGATTCGTTGACCTGGGAATATGGTAGAAACGATAAATAATATCTATGAAAAGCCCAAAAAACAGCATCTTGTCAAATTACTTTTGCATCATATGTTCTTGTATGTGATGAAGAAATTGTCAGTTTTTAAAACCAGATTCAATATGGCACTTTGATTATGCTATTAATACAAGGAAAAAGAATTTCACATTATTAACGTTTGAGCTTTCCCGAGAGACAATTTTTTTTTAGAATAACAGTTGAGATGGTTTCAACGGGTTTAAAAAGTTGAGAAGAAAATTTAATGAACGAACGATCAAAGGATATAAACGATAAGGAAATCGGGCGTTCAGATTCAAAATAATCTAATGAATATGACACTTAAAACATATTCTCCGAAAAGTGTTTTCTACCCTATCAAGATGTGCGTAAGTATACAATATGAGAAAAGCATTTGAGTGACATCTGTACTGTCTGGTAAAAGAAAAATAAGAAATAGTTTTCATTTCTTATCCTTATTATTTAATACAGTTCTGCGTATCATCGGATATTTTTCTTTAAGAGTTAGTCACTCTATACATTCCATGTGCTATGCCCTAAACAATAGATTTACTACCAGTCAATGCACTGAGTTAGTTTGTTTGCGTTCTTTTTTATTCTATTTTTTAGATTATCCTTAATTGCAATGACAATCTCATATTCCATTCGTTTTTGGCTTCTTCTTATACCACTAATTCCATCTGTTATAGTTTCCATCTTTAATCTCTATCATCTTCTTAGAAGTCGAACACTTCGCACAGCTCTTAACAATCATGTTATTATTCTTCTGTTAATCTGTGGACTTTTCGCGGAACTTACTGCTATTGTGTTATTAATTCATTTATATCGCACCGGTACTGTTCTATCATCGACACATGAATTTTGTCTAGCATGGTGTTTGGCTAATTTATTTGGTGTTATATCTGTTGGCCTTCTAATGGCTTGGGCATCGATTGAACGACATATTCTCATTTTTCATCCGAGATGGTTTGCAACGAAAACTAAACTTCTTTTCTTTCATTTTCTTCCTTTGGCAATATGTATTTTGTGGCCAGTAGCATTTTATCTTGTCTTTTACTTAACAATACCTTGCAATTTTCCTCCCGATTACACTGCACCTGTATGTAACCTATATGCGTGTCTTTTTCTTAGTCCAAAGATAGGTTTATTTGATAGTATCGCTCATTATATTATGCCGACATTTATTGTTGTATTCTTTAGTATTGCTCTGTTGATACGTGTTTTGTATCACAAATATCGCATGCATCAAAGAATTGAATGGAGAAATTACAAGAGAATGGCAGTGCAATTGTTACCGATATCTGCTCTGTATCTTCTGATATCATTTCCACCAATGATTTTGTATACTGCATATTCAGCTGGTCTACCATCTTATGTCGCTGCTGATTATTTTCTTGATGGTTCTTTCTTTTTTTATTGGGTTATAATCTTTACTCCATTTGCGAGTGTTCTCTCATTACCTGAATTGAAAGTAAAATGTAAAAATATCTTTCTATTTTGGCAACGTAATCGAGTTGTTCGCCAAGAAATTTTGCCCATAAATCGTCTACAAGCTGGTCAAACTTAAAACAACGCATTAATTATTTTTCATTGAATACAAAAACAAATGATCAGTAGAGAATCAAACAAGCCTTACCAAAGATCAATGTTGTATACTGTAATGTCATTTTGTTAAGAGAAATATCGATGTTGTCAGCTTTTTATATTATCTTATCTTTTGTTGTTCTGTCAATAAATTGGTCTTCATGTATCGGGTGTCCGGAAAGTCACCTACCAAAAGTAAAATTGAATATCTTAGTCATTTCTCAATACAATATAATAAGTTTTTTGTTTGAAAAAGCATGATCTCAAGTTTTTATTTTAAAAAATAATTTCATAGATACTTCTACAATGAGTCACTAGCAACATCGATACATAGTTCCATTCGTCTAACAATAGCTCCGAATACTTTGTTCAATGTTTCTTATTTTATATTTTTGATTTCGTCCGTTATTCTTTCCTTCAGATCGTTAATATCGTTCACAGGTGTGGTGTAGATCAAGCTTTCAATATAACCCCATAAATAAAAATCTAAGGGTGTCAAATCGGGAGAACGCGGAGCCCATGAAATGGAACCGCCTCTCTCAATCCATCTTTGACCGAATTGTTCATCCAATCAGACGCATACTTGTTTAAAAGAGTGGATTGGAGCACCGGCCTTTTGAAAGTAAATTTTCTTATCGAATTTTTGTCGTCATATGATTGGATGAAAAAAGCTTTTCAACATATTCAGGTAATTATCCTCATTGACAGTCTCATGATCGAAAAAGAATGATCCAATAAGTTGTTTACTTGAGATCGCACACCACACATTAACTTTTGCTGAATTCCTTGCTTCCTCGACGGTCACAAACTGGTTGCTTGAGGACCAAAATCTACAGTTGTGTTTATTAACAAGGTCTGATAGATAGAATGTTGACTCATCTGAGAAAAAGATGAAACCTTCGTTCGATGGATCCTGGAGAATCCGGATCAGTTTTTTTGCCATTTAGACACGGAGGTCCTTCTCCTCATCGTATAAAAGCTGAGTTCATCGCATCATATACGGTCTTCATCCAAGATTTGGTCAACCTCGTCGACAATCTCATCTGTAATTGTAGACGGTCTTCCCGAACGCCTGAGGTCTGTGACGGAGCCGATTTCAAGAAAATTTTAATAAATTGAGGTAATAGTATGTCTTGAGGGAGCATTTTTATCACCTTGACGCTGCATTTTTCGACTAACTCTTGTCGGAGACTCGAGTTTAGCCATTAGAAGTTGTAACGATATTGATATCATCTCTTGCTGTTCTCTATCTTCTCGCTTCGTTACACGTTCATCTGTTCATGTACAGCAGTCAATAATCATCTATACCGTGAGAAGCGGTCAGCTACTCAACCAGTTTGTCGTTACAAAAGTACTATTTGAATTCTAGTCCCTGTAGAATATACCATACTGTTGATCTGAAATGATGCTAAAAGAAACTTGAGATCATGCTCTTCAAACAAAAAATTATTATATTGCATTGGAAAATGACTAAGATACTCGATTTTACTTTTGGCAGGTGACTTTCCGGACATCCTGTACCTGACAGACCGGCAATTCATGATTAGCGTTGCATATTTGGTGAGAAGAAAAACATAAATAAGAGAAATAGGAGTAAAAATAGAAAAGTATGTACATTTGAAATTGAATTAGATGTCATCAGTGATTGAATGAACAGATTCATCAGTATTACCGAAACAAAGTCAGTGGTATTCTCCAAATTCTCTCAACTGAAAGGAGGGTCATACGAAAAAATAGTTTATACGTTTGTCTGTTTGTGTCAAGATCGGAGGTCAAAGCCAAAAAGCATTTTTTCGAAAAAAGCCCAAAACTTCATAAAACATGGTTTAGGAGGGTTGTTGAGAGTGGATGTTGACAGTAGGTAGTGGGGTGAAGGTCGGGGTCAAGGTTCAAAGGTTAAAAAAACATTTAAAAAAAATCATTCAACACATTGAAAACTTCTACTATGCTGAGGCTAGACAGAGTGCGGATGAAGGGTGAAGGGAGAGGGGAGTGAACCCATTAGTGGGTGTATGGGTATGTGTGGATGTATGAACGTGAGTAGGAGTCGTCGATGATTCTTGGGGGTGGACGTGGGTGATTGGTGTCGATGATCAGCGGCTCTGTCCCCTGAGCTGAGGATTTTAGTTAGATTTGGTGTTTGGTTCTTGTTGATTTGTTTATAATGGAATATGAAGCTGATGTGGGGTTGGAGTGGTTAGGAGTGGTGTTCGAACGCATTTAAAATGGTTAGGGTGTTCCAACTTTTATTCAACTGTAACTGATCTTAGGGTTAATAAAAGAGCGACAAATAATTGTATGTATTACCGTAGCTAAATGTAGTGGAAGCGAAAAATAGAGACATCACAAAAGGCACATTAGCTAAATTCACATGCGTCAAATATAATCCTAATCCATTGAGTAAACCTATTAATACTATGGAAATTTTACAAAGACGAAGAAATAAAACTTCTGCAAGTAATTGATGATTATTATTGCTGTTCGTAGTAAATTTAAACTAATGTTATAAATATTCTTTTGTCGTTGAGTGTTTGTTTCATTTGGATTCACAAATCGGAGTTAGAGTTGCCTATCTCTGGATGGTACAGCGAGTGATCTCGTGGTAGTGAAGTTCATGGGCTGAAGTATGTAGATGAGGGTGAGAATGCTTGGAAAGAGATATCAACTTAGAGGAGACTGAGATTGATAATTGACGTTCTATATTTTTTACCCTTGTCTATGCTTCGTGACGCATTTGATATGTTGTGTATGGTTGTCATGTTGTTCGACTGAAGTGGCCCTGGCGCTTATTGTATTGCATCACCGTTTCTTTCTTCTTATGGCATATTGCATTGGTAGTATAAAATTCAGGTTTTTATATGCCCCTCCAGAAAGAGTAGGAAAAATTCAGTATTTTGTGTTCGAAAGTTACTAAATATATGTGTGCAAAAACATTTGAATTGTTTCTTCGCGTATGAAATTGTTAGATCTATTTGTCTCACATTTGAGACACGAAAAGAATATCTATCCTCGTCAGTCGAGGGTTTAGTGAGTCGGCACGACTTGCGCTACTTGTTGGATAGAGTATTTAAATCTTAGGTCTTATTGGAATGGATTTTGATATTTCACGAAGCATACAATTTCAAAATGCATTAAAGGATAAAATTGTATGAAAGGTCGTCATTTCTTTCGGTTAAAAATGTGATCAGATTGTTTTTTTTTATTCGTAGAATGCTTCAAAATTTAACCTTGTTACAGATAAAGTAGGTGCTTTTGAAATCGAACAACTCGTTCGTGTTATAAAAGATAATCCAGTAATTAGTAAGCTTTCCATACTTTTTACAAATGTTTCATTATTTGTAGGGAATACAAAAATCAACTAACAAAGAAGCGGTATAATACATTTCATTTGAGAACTATTTTATAATTGATTAATTCTAGAATCATTTAATACTGGAACGAATTGATAATATATCCGATTTAGTATCTCTTTCAAAAACAAACACCAAGCCAAGTAGGAAAACCAATTCTAAAGAAAAACCTACAACGTAATTTTTCAATTTCAATACATTAACTCTCACTTTGAATTTTCCAACAAATTGGGCACCATATACAAATCTTTGCAATAGCATGTATTATGGTAGCTATAATACTGGATATACTTATCCATATTCATACCCATATCCATATGAAGGATATTTTAATTATTATCAATAAGATAACTGTTTGATTGATTGTAGGAGAAAACAGTTCAATAGTCATGAATAAATTCTATATTTTTCAATCACGAAAGCGAAGGTAAAGGAAACAAAGACAAAGACAAAGAAGAAAGAATTACTCAAACTCACGTCATCCAATTGTAAGGTGAAAGTGAATGAGAATTCATGTTAGAGCTCAAATCGTTATTCTCAATCTACCTTCTTGACACTGATCCTCTGTTGTTTTTCAACCAATTAGAATGCTATAGAATTCATTTATTGCTTTATAGAAGCAATAGAAAGTACAACTGATACAAATTTTTATATCGGTGTGAAACTAGCACCATGAAACTAAGAATTTTGAGAAAAGAAATTCCCGCCCATAAAAATGAGTATTTCCGGCACAGAATTTAATTCGATATCGAACGGCGCCAATTTTATTCATCGAAAAAGCGATAGCGACGGAGCTTACTTCTTCGTTTCATGGCATTATGCCATGAACTATGTGCACACGATCAGGATGATTGAGTCATATGCACAGATCATTGTGAAGTTAGCACCAGAAAATGAAAAATTATTCAATCGTTTTCCCGTTCTTAAAAGTATCACCATTCGATCTAGAGTCACATTCGGTGCCGAATAAAGTCATTTTCATAGACGGGAATTCATTTGAACATAAAAGTTTTGAATGATTTTTCGTTCTCCGTTGCTAGCTTCACACCGATTCAATAACTATACCTAGAATACACATTTTCTTCTCAAGTCAAATGATGTAGAGTTCAGTATATTTCCAGAACATGAAAATACGGATGAATATCACATTCAAACACAAATTATTTCTTCTAATTTTCGTTTTAACAAGATCACCTGTTTTTACATCAACCAATGTAATAATACTTCAACAAACGACGTGTTAGTGGTTCTCCTTTCGCGAGAGTGTCTCCGGTTTATTCTCTATTCATAAAACATATGCACACACATGTATATATAAATGGCGACGGAGAGCGATAGACATGAGAGAACAAAGCTGCGCTAACATCCGTCCCTCCACGTGACATAATGTATGTTCGTACATAAACAAAGAATTTCTGAAAAAATATGATAAAGAAGAAAAATTTAACAAACAAAAAGAATTTCAAAGTCATTATTGACGCCTTTCGCTGTGATCGTGTGTGGTACGTGTTTGGTGGTGATTGGTTTCTTGGACTCGGACAGAACAAAACATGTGTCGATGATCTATCGTGATTGTCTTTGTTTGACCATGTGCATGTGTGAACGTTGTTTGCTTTTTAATTCCAACGTTCGGAGTATTGACTGCGTGTGAAATAGCTGATTGGGACTTTCTTTTTCCTCTCTTCTTTCAGCTCTTCCGATTTGAAATTGATTGTCACTTCGGATTTTGCTTCATTGATGTGAATTTAGTGCGTGTAATGTACTTCATCTTCCTGCGACTGCGCCCTGATCTTTCGATAATCATACCAATAATAGACGGATTGTATGACTCGATGTACAAATGAAGGGCAGGTTCGCTTCTTCTCTTTGTATTTCTCGTTATTTCGTCGTTGGATTTCCTTCTTCTGTTCGTTTCGGTTGCTGTTCTGGGTCGGTTTCGAGTTCGAAATCTGATTCTAATTCAAGTTCCATTGCCAGTTCCTGTGGTCGACTCGTTTGACCTTGTTGATATTTTACTTTGGTTTGTGACAAGTATAATTCTATTTCGTCGCCACTGACGTCCGAAAGATCGCCTGGATAACAGTGATTCAACGGTGTGGTTTTTCGGAATTCAATCGGGATATGTTGTTGTTTGTTGGCGATGGCTAAATTGGTTTTTCGTCCGGGGCACGCTGCTCGGTAGATTTCAGTAACTGCCGTGCAATCATGTACGACGTAACTGATTAAGGTGACCCGAGATTGTCTTTCCACCTGACATATCGTGATATTTCTTTGGAAATAGTTTTTGTTGCCATGCATCCAATCCACAACTCCATAGATATCAGATAAATGCTTTGTCGAGGAATTTTTGTAATGAATATTTAATGTTCTTCGTATCTTCATAATCCTCATCATCATCATAATCATAAAAACCATTGTCGCCAGGAGTGTCAAATTACACTTCTGTTGTTTCACGACTTCCGTTTCTGGACGCATGACTAGCGTATCTTCTCGGTCCTGAAATAAAGCTTGTAAATTCCTGTGTCTTATCTTACCTATTTTCATCCATTCGAATCGATGAAGATCCTTCAATTCGTTGTTCACCGATCCTCAAGTAATTATTTCATTGTCCGCATTGAAAACGATTGACCATATCTAATGTAGACTACACATCACTGTTCAATGACTGTGTTTTTATTTAGAGACCGTGATTGTCACGGAAATCAATGCATTAACATCCTTTTAATACAATGAAGAACAAAGCAAAATATAACGATCACAGATAGAATATTGGTAAATAGATCCAGAACACTTCTATAAAAGACATTCAGCACAATAAATACAACGCTATACCTTATATTTCTCATCGCTAATGCTATTTTATTAATTTAACATGGAAAAAATTAACTAATGAGGACGTGAATAGCTTCGGTGGATGATCACTAATCATTCATCAATGCAAAATGAAGAATCTTCCGTCTAAGATATATTTAACCACATTGTACTGTTTGGCTTTGATGTGTATGACGTCCGTTTCCCTATAGTCATTTTATTTGTAATATCATATTAAAGTAAATTCTTTCGCTTCAAGTAATTTACTTCTTTTCTCCACTTGAATATTTTCTTTTTATGCTCAAGTCTCAATGCATATGCCTTTACGACGCTTACCCATGTCAAAGCTATACAGCAGGATCGATGATATTCCAACGATTTCCTGCAATGGGAATCTAACTTCGTATTTGACCAGCAGCTTTCGATACTGTTCCAGTCGCTTCTAGGCCTAGGACAGTTCGAAGTTCCAAATCCAAAGGAACTGGGCAAAAGAACTTCCTGCTCAGTTCTTCCGAAAGGAACTGATCTGCACCCACCAGTTCTTTGACAGGAACTGATCTGGACCTACCAGTTCTTTGACAGGAACTGATCTGGACCTACCAGTTCTTTGACAGGAACTGATCTGGACCTACCAGTTCTTTGACAGGAACTGATCTGGACCTACCAGTTCTTTGACAGGAACTGATCTGGACCTACCAGTTCTTTGACAGGNGAAAGGAACTGATCTGCACCCACCAGTTCTTTGACAGGAACTGATCTGGACCTACCAGTTCTTTGACAGGAACTGATCTGGACCTACCAGTTCTTTGACAGGAACTGATCTGGACCTACCAGTTCTTTGACAGGAACTGATCTGGACCTACCAGTTCTTTGACAGGAACTGATCTGCACCTACCAGTTCTTTGACAGGAACTGATCTGCATCTACCAGTTCTTTGACAGGAACTGATCTGGACCTACCAGTTCTTTGACAGGAACTGATCTGCACCTACCAGTTCTTTGACAGGAACTGATCTGCACCTACCAGTTCTTTGACAGGAACTGATCTGCATCCACCAGTTCTTTGACAGGAACTGATCTGTACCTACCAGTTCTTTGATAGGAACTGATCTGTACCTACCAGTTCTTTGACAGGAACTGATCTGCATCCACCAGTTCTTTGACAGGAACTGACTTATTTTTAACCGATTTCTACAAGAAAATGAATCGTTTTCAAAAGTTACTAGTTCCATAAGATCCATGTTACTACTTGTCTAATTATATAAAAGAATCGAGTTACATAAATTATGTATATATTGTACCATGCATAAGACTATCCAAAAGAGATGCGATGAAGTGAGTTTTATTTCTGTGAATGGTGTAAAATAATGCAATTATGTATGTTAACGTCTGTTTGCTCAGGATATTCATCTATATAATCGCTAAGGGCTACCTCGGTTCATATGAGAGAGCATGATGCTTTCACTTTGCTTTCAGAGTATTGCTTCTATAAAAACTTATTCTTTTGTGAGATTATGGTTGTGTGCAAAAGATGTCACTAAAAACGAATATGTCATTTATTTTGAACCGATCAGAGTATTAATAATAAATTGATTTTATATCAATAAAGAATTTGTTGTAATCTAAATGAGCGATTTTCTCTTGAGTAATTGTATTGGCGGCATATGGTTCACGCAAAAATATTATCAATATTTGAGATAAACCGACGATTAAAATGAACTTTGTTTCTCTAGTTATTCACGCTGATTCTTCACTAACAAATAAGCTAATGTAACAAAAACCGCAAAAATGCTTCGCTATAGTCCGATTCTTTCCATCTCGTGAAGTTCTGTATGGTCATGTATTTTACCTATGAAAATGTGATGACGTATAGTTGTTATTACGTCTTCGACAATTTGATCAATATTATACATATTCATATCAAAACTAGCTTATTGACAAAGAGAAGATCTATAGCGTTTTTTACGAGGAGAATATTACATTCACAAAATTTACGGATCGGTATTCAAGCAATCGAAGTATGCGAGAACATGGTGCTTCATCTGTTGTATCGAAAGATGATCAGAAAACTAGAAAAAGGAAAAGAACCAATACTATTTCTCAATCATCAAAGAAAAACAATGATAATAGTCAACAGATGAATAGTGACATAAGTGATGATGAATCAGATAATTTAACATCAGTAGAGCGTCAACGGCCGTCGGCTGTACATTTATTTGCGAAGAAAATACCTAATTCAACAAACTATCAATGTAACTTGTGTCCTAATTCCAAGGTAATGAATTTTACATTGAACATTCCAATTGTTATTTGTTTTCTGATATAATTGTAGGTCATTTCTTGTGGTGTTGGCACAAACGCAAATATCCGACGCCATTTGGCTAGTCAGCATGGATTAACTCAATTAAAATCCAAAAGTCATCCTGAAAGACATACTTTACAAATTGATTCTATGCGAAAACGACTTTATGATTCTGCTGCTATAGCAGCTATTATTATGGATGGTCGACCGTTCGGTGACTTTAAAAAAAAAGGTATGCTTGCTTTTGATCAACTTCACATAAATGTGTTATTCTCTTTTGACTGGAGAGTAGCGGATCTATCTTTTTTGGACCCGGCCCGGGCCCGGAATAAAGAAAAAAATCTGGACCCGGATCCGCCCGGGGTTGGGCCGACCCGCTCCTCCCTACTTTTGACCTATAATAATAAAAAAATTCCAGTATTCTATTTGCTAAAATGTAAACAAAACTCTATACACTTTAACGAATTAAGGAATAAATTGAAAATACTCATACAATTACAATTGTATGGAACTTGCTCTTATCTAAAGTTCACTTCTATAATAAGCCAAATTGAAGATAATTTAGTTCCACTATAATCGATCTTAATTGAAAAGAATAACCGAAGGATTTACACAGCGCCATTTATCTCTAGTTGAAACCATTTTCTATTTAATATTACACGTTTTCAAACATTCACTTATATTATAGGCATGGCTGGTTTCTTGTCAACCGTCACACCTGGTTATTATGGGCCACATGAAAAACCGGTGC